GGCTGCCTTCACCGATTTGTCGGTGGCCTGGCCTGCGGGCAGCACCTCAGTACCAGTGTGGGCGTGCTGTTGGCCGTCGCACAGGATGCCAGTGCTCCTCTCGTGCAGGTTTGTCTTCTCCCTATTTTAGAGTATTCTGACGGAAGTCCCCCTAACAATTCAATTTAAATAGTGCGGGTTTGGAGTAAAAGTAGTTAAGTTGCACATTTTTTCACAAGTCGTTTTATTATAAGAAATGCATAAAACTAATAATTGGGCATAAATGTTAAAAAGGCGCAGCATTTGCGAAATAACAGTGGGCAGCACGACATTCGCGCCATGAAATTTTCATCTCAGTTAAAGTTGGACGATCTATTGTGATCGAGGAAGTGGTATTTTTGGTTGCTTGCGGAGTAAATGTTGCTGAATCACATCTCTTGAACATGAAAGTCTCATAAGTTTATCCTGGGATTGACCTATCGTCACCTAGATTGCCAGAAATCCCAAAATCTGAAAGTACTGCACAAGTAGTCACAAGTATTCCTGATCATGTGAGAGATGGTAACAGTGCAGCTGACTAAAAACATATTTCTATCATGAACTCGCGGGGAAACATTAGTATTTTTTTCTACTTATTTTAGAATGGTTATGGCGTCGGCCTTCGTACGATCAGAGTATGCCAGTCGGATTTATCAACCGAAAGTATTCCACACGAAATAAAGTCTGGAAATTAGCTTAAACAGGCATAGGTGATTGCACTGAAAGAATGGAAGTAATCCGTAACCAGAAATTCATTCATTATTTGAACTGCTACTTGCAGTGATCGTTGAATCAAATTTTTCCGATTTGTTATTAGTAACATGACTTGGGCCGACACGGCTTGACGAAGTGTACAGGTAGTTTGTCTTGTCAAGCCGGACGTGCTCATTTGTATAAGTTTCAAAGCTTGGCAAACTGAGCATCTAGCTTTTGACTAGCGTCTGGAACCCATATACACATGATGGTGGGGTGCAAAATGGCTTGCCGGTGCGTCTTCGAAGTTGCTCTAAATTATAGTTCCTTAATCATTTCGTCATATGATTAAGCCAACCTTCTGGCCGTTAATAGCTGTTTTCTTGTCACTTTTAGGCCTGGGCACTGCATGCTCTGGCTCTGACCGCGGAATCTGGAGGCCCAATGTTTCGCGAGTTTGTACAACCGAGCCTCAAGTTGGTTCTTCGTCTACTCCTAAAGGCATCTTTCACCGCTACCGACGTTCATATTAGTCTAGCCAAACTCCTCGGCGCTCTAATAACCACACTGGGCCCGGAACTTCAGTGTACGTCGACTACTGCCCACACGAACTTTTATATTTTTGTTTAGCACACTATACTTTTGACGATAAATCGTTACGAAACAGCTGGCTTTGGTTATAGTGTCATGTTAGGCAGGGGTGCATTCATTTATTGAAGAGGAGCCATTATATTTATATGACTGTCAGTTGGTAGTGCGAATGTTCCAAGAGACGAAGTCAACCGTTTTGAGTGGGTGCAGTGATGACTTGGACTTGAAATAACTTAAAATTAGGTAGACTTGTGCGGCATCTAAGATACCCCCCCCTTCGCCAATGCAAGCGAACCTGTGAGTCCCAGGAAATAATTTAGAAGAAGAGAATTCGATTGCTGGGACAACACTTTTATTCGCCTGATGTTTCGACATCCGTCGCGGAGACATCAGGGACATGAGCAGAAAACAGTAGCAGAAACGAGTGGTACATGCACAGGAAGTTGCAATCTGCCAAACCCCTAATAATTTATAAGATACATTCATTACTGCACACATGACAAATAACGATAATTCACGATAATCGCCTTCTTGTGTGTTGCTTGCTTGATGAACAGCATGCGGGCCGTGACCTGCTAAACTTGCATCATGCATGGTGAAATTGGACGTGATGATTGCTTGGTTATCTGGTTTACCGGTGTTGGCATGAGTGGATGCAGTGGACGCTACTATTTTTAGCTCATGTCTCTGATGAAGAATCCTTGACGGGTGTCGAAATGTCAGGCGAATAAAAATGTCGTCCCAGAGACCGAATCTTCTCAATACCCCCTTGCCTATCCATTTTGCCCCGATGACAGGAATAAGTCGAGACCACCTAATGTGATTGCTGGCCTAACGGAAATGACTTGTGAAGGTAAGGGGCCCGTCTACGTGGGCCGCACACGTTCTAAAATTTTCTTTAGATATATCAGGCTGCAATAGGTCCGGGCGTTGATTTGCACAAAAGAAATGTCATAAAGGCTGCGTTAAGCAGCATTCATTGTGACATGCCTCCTAATACTAGGGGGGAGTCAAGCTAGCTTCTGCAGTTGGCAGTATTCAAAGCCACGGCTAATGCACCGTGATGGGTTCAAGCGCACCAGAACTCTTAGAGTGGAAAATTAGGACTAATTTTCCCAATATCAACCTCACCCTCTAGTCCCTCTTTCATGCAGTTCAATCCTGTCAATTAACCTGTGATGAAATTGGGCATAGTGGTTTATTAGACTTAATATCATATCAGGATCTGGCATGGGCGACCTGGTTCCGAATTCATGGACTAGACTACGCCAAATAACATGCATTCAACGTACCTGGGGTATGCATATTCTCACATGCGAAGTTTCTGCGTTATGCCGGCAGCGGGTGTTTTGGGGAAGTATCGTGTACTCGTGTGTCCTAGAGTAGGTTCGCATGTAGCACAAGAATGTGCGTGTTTGCAGGTAGGGAGATGGGATGATAGGACGTAGGCTGCGTTTATATCGCAAATTGTAATGGATGGGCGTATGTCCGAATTGGAATATGAGATGTTCGAATGCCCTTGGGGTAGGTGAACAACTGAGCCGCGTGTGACGGGTATGTATTGATCCTCTGTGGACTAATTTTTTTGGTCGCCATGCTAGTTATAGGCAAGTAACCAAGCGGGCCGTTGAGTGACTCGGAGGTGCGGTGGCAAGGGGGGCAAGTTGCAACTCAGTCCATATAGCTGCTGGAAGGGCCAATGGTGGATAGGATGACGAGATTCTGATCGCTAGTGGTTGGTACGCAGAAAGGGCAGTCTTCTGCCATCGAACAGGAAAAACCACAATTTATCTTGTCAGTTCTGCATTATTTAGCCTCATACGTTACCTGATTTGTAAAAGGGGTGTAGCGGAATGACCTAATCCCTAACAAGGAACAGATGCACCTGGAATTATTGACAGATTATCTCAGCCTTGTTCCTTCCTTACTAAATGAATTGAAAAATACTTTTATAAATCACAGTGTAGGGATATCAACGAAGATTAGGATCGTACGTTATGGTTACCTTCTAGGTAGTTGGGCTACCTACAGTCAGAGCTAAACATTCGCCACCTTCGTGCTGTTATATTCTAGAGTGATTGCTCTATCACTTGCACCTGTTGTCCTTTGCCTGATAGAATCTGATATATTAGCCTGATGCCTGTTTCCATTTAGTCGTAAGTGCCATTTTTCTGTCTAAAGTATCTCAAAGCAGATTTGTATCTAGTTGCTGGTCCATATGCATTGTGACTGTTGGGGCAACTCTGGCCATTTATAATCTTGTTCGTCCGATGTCTAATCTAATCCGCGATTTAATAATTTTCTTTTCAGCTTCCGTTGCTCCTAAATCCAACGCCGGCCTGATTTGCCTCTCCTGCTGTTCCATCCTGTTGGAGCATCCAGATCCTCGAGTTATGGCAGAGGGCATTACCAACTATCAACGCCTTCACATGTTCGCTCCGCACTCCGTCAACCTCACTCAGTTTGCTCCTCACCTTTATGTAAGTCTTCCTATGCTTTGCCCTGCGTTCCAATTTTTCGCCCTGAGCGCGCGATTTAGATAGGCTACTAGGATACTAGGACTGAGAATAAAAAGTAGGCACACTCGCTGGGACAATAAGCTTATTCGCCTGTTGTTTCCTATTCAAGTGAAGACGAGTTTATTAACGGAAATATAGGCAAACGTCTTTGAACTCCCTATTGGTGCCCAGTAGTTAAGCAATGCGTCGGCACAGTCGAACACTTCAAAGAAGTTGTTTACATACTTGTAGGCGACTACTCGCTTGTTCCAAGTAATATAATCACATTTGGTGATGTCAGTTAACACGAGGCGGCAGGTTTAACCGAGCAAAAAGAGCAGACAGTAAAAAAAAACACCTAAGGCATGGCTAAGAATTAAAAAATGGGATGTCATTTGTGGTTTTTAGGAGAAAAACTGTCGCTCGTGGGAGAAAGTGTGTGAAAGGTATGACCGGCATGCTGCTGTGTATGTTGGCGGCAAGCCAGAGGGCCCATCCCGAGTAATATCTTTATCCGAAGGGCCACACGAGGAAGAGGCCGCAGAGTCACGAAAACATCTCAAAGAACCGGAGAGGCGACCATGACGTGCCCTTGCTGTGACAAAAACAGAGAAAACCGCCACGGTCATCAGCAGTCGGTTTTTAGGTCGATATGAGGAAGAACGTGACAAGGCCGCGTAGCCATACACATCATCAGCTGCGAGTTCTTAATAAACTAGGAATTTCAGTATTTATAGGATGCGACTGCTATGCTATAGCCGCCTTCTCCTTCATCAGGGATGACTGCTCTTCAGTGCGACAATTGTTTCATGGTCACCATTTGCGTCGTTAATCCTCGAACATGTATCAC